GTCCGTTTTATTACTTACAAAAAAGTCTGTAAATACAAATCTTTAATTGTACCTTCAAAAGAAATGCCTTGAAATATAATTACAAATTAATTCCTAGTTGCATAATTATTCAAATCTTTTAAAGAATCTATTTTTGTAGTCCAGACCTCTTAGTGTTTCTGAGTAGTTATAATTTCATTCTGTTAATGTGTGTCGGGTAATTAATTGCTAATGTTTGTGTGGGCAGATAGTGGAAGAGCATCCCAGCGTTGAGCAGAGTCGGCGCGCTCAGGCAGAGCCCATCAGTCTAGACAGCTGTCTGAAAGCCTTCACCAGTGAAGAAGAGCTGGGAGAGGATGAGCTCTATTACTGCTCCAAGTGTAAGACCCACCGCCTGGCCACCAAGAAGCTGGACCTCTGGAGGCTGCCTCCTGTACTGGTCAGAAACACAAATGATTTCCATTTCCTCTTTTTCTGTAGGAATAAAAATACTGCATGACTCTTAAACTTGAATTATTATGCATCATTGCAAGTTGCCCTTTGTAATATATGGGTGAAATATTTTTTTTGTATCCTTTCAGATTGTTCATTTGAAACGCTTCCAGTTTGTCAATGGTCGCTGGATTAAGTCTCAGAAGATTGTGAAGTTTCCACGTGAGAGCTTTGACCCCGGTGCGTTTCTGGCCCCACGGGAGGTTGCTCAAAGCATGGGCAGCCTGCAGAGTGAATCCCTGGTAGAGGAGCTCCAGAGGCTGGAGAGAGGAGACTCTTCTGTGTCCTCCGTCTCCACTACTACAGTGGCCAGTCCTCCCACTTCTGGCAGAGGTCTGTTTCTCTCTCTCTTTTCTCTTTTTGCAGACCTTTTGAATCATGAGACATGAGATTCTTTAATCGTTGCATTGTTGTTTCAGGCACCCCGTGCTCCATCAGGAGGGTGGGCAGCCCACTGAGCAAAAACAGCAGCCCTGGCAGCAGCCCCAGGAATACAGGGCGGAAACAGGGGCGTCTGCGTCTTCCCCAGCTGGGCAGTCGACATCGACTCTGCAACAGCAAAGAAAACCTGGATGCCTGTAGCAGCAGCAAGGAGAGCGAGACCGAGTTGGAGCAGGGCACAGTGACGGATGGGGAGAATCAGATGCCATCTGATGCAAATGCACAAGACACCTGGTCACTGGACGCCTCAAGCAATGACTGTGATGTCATCATGGTGAATGGATTGGGACAAGAGAGCAGTCAGAGTAACGGACACTCGGACGTCAGCACAGACCTGGACACCCCTCACCAAAGAAATGACATCTGCCTGGAAACCCTGTACAATTTATATGCAATCTCAGTAAGTGATTCTTGTCTACATGTTTTGTTGTGTAATGATTGCTTTTGTGAACAGCTTCTCTGACACTGTGATTATTGTTTTTCTTTCAGTGCCATTCAGGAATAATGGGAGGGGGGCACTATGTGACTTATGCCAAAAACCCCAAAGAAAAATGGTACTGTTACAACGACAGCAGCTGCAAGGTAAGATCTCGACTCTCTTTATTTTTTCACATCTCAGTTGTTTCCATTATTTTGCATTCTTATTGCACAGAGATAAAATATATATCTACAAAAATAGAAAATGCTTCAACGAAGTAGAGATATCAAAACTATCAGTACTTTGCTGTTAAGTTGATACTAAAATAATCAAAAAGCACTACAACCTTTCTACAGTATCTGTCGTAGTAATTACCAACTGAATTTGGAAAGCTTAACATTAAATTTCATTTAATTGAGATAAATGTTATTTAAAATATTAAATTCAATTCAATTAAAATAGTTTGTTTAATATAAGTACTGTGGTATCAACATTGGATTTATATTCCTGAAATGTCCCTTGCATTGGTGTTGAATATTGAAAAAAATAAAATATTATGGTATTTATTGTAAGTATTATGGTATCCACATTGGATTCATATTTCTGAAATTTCGTTTGCACTGGTGTTGACTACTGAAACTGCTGAAAAATTAAATAAAAAAATGTAATTAGTGTTGAATATTGCAAAATAAAAATAATAAAATAAGATAAAAAAATAATGTGTTCAGTATAAGTACTGTGGTGTTAACACTGACATTTATATTTCTGAAATTTCAAAAGTTGACTACTGGAAGTCTGGTTTCGTGACAACACTACGAGAAGTATTGCGCAACACCTAAAACAAACTGTTTCTTGTTGTCTTCAGGAAGTTCAGTCGGACGAGATTGACACAGATTCGGCCTACATCCTGTTCTATGAGCAACAGGGAGTGGACTACTCACAGTTTCTGCCAAAAACAGAGGGCAAAAAGATGGCAGACACCACTAGCATGGACGAAGACTTTGAATCTGACTACAAGAAGTACTGTGTGCTGCAGTGATGCCATGCTCTTCCACATCAAAGACACTGGGGCTGTCAGTACGCCAGTGCAATGACAACTGAAACGGCAGCGTCGCCCCAGAGGACCATCATTTGTGAAAGCACAAAATATCAGTTAGCCGACAGGCGCAAGACCACCGCTGACTGCGCTTTCAGAATAGAGGTACCTGACACTTCAGATACACGAGGGAGAGGGTGAATGAGTGAATCACAGAGAACTGTAGCAATCATGTGATTGTTGCCAAGCAAACAAATAACTGTTAGCCAATCCCTTGATATCACCATTACAAGACAGACAAAACTGCTCTTTCACATGCCAGCCCACACCGGTGAATCCAAAAATCACGTAACAAGAGCTCATGCTTCTATATTGCTAATATTCAGAATGCTAATTGACAGAACAGGTTGTTTTAATTAGGAAATTGACGGTGAAGATGGCATTGGTATCAATTATAGAGGTTTCTCTAAAGCTTTTGTTGGCTTAGTTTTGTCATAGTTGATTTTTGTTTCTTCTTCAGTAAGTTCCATACACTACCTCACATCTTTCGCAGTTGGCCAACTGTTCATAGAAAATCAGAGTGACAGTATTATATCACCTGAGGGCAGTTAAAATTACTTCTACTTTATATACAAAAATCACTTTCCAAAAAAAGTTGCTTTTTTTTATTTAATAAACAAAACAAAACAACGTTTCTACTAATTAATTAAATATCCTCCCACTCCTCCGCTGCCAAATTATGCACATACTATTTTTGTTGATTTTAGTTTTAAATCTTATTTAAGATGGTTACTTTCAGGCTTCGTTTCTCTTTAGAAGAGTTAATGTATTACTCTCCTTATTATTTTTTTATAAATTTATTTTTATCACTGATTGTTTTTAATGCAATTGTTCACCTTGCCTAAACGCATTCGCTTACAGCTTTAGTCTCAGCTGTCTGATCAAACCACGTCCTCTCAACAAATGCACAGCTTTTTACAAGTTTTCCTGTTACCACTGTATTTTTTGCTTAGTAAAATACTGTTGACCACAGAGACTAAAAACAGCAACCAGATACATATCTAAACAATGTTTTCTTACCAGAGAGACTGCATGTCCAAGCCAAAGTGTTCAACTGGTCACGTACATAGTTTACGGGAAGCATTGCATACTGTTAGATGAGAGCATAAGAGGTATGTTGTGTGAACAGTATTAGCACGGAGAAATATTTCACAGCCTTTGCTTTTAGAGAACAGCATTCTCACTAAACTGCTGAACGTTCTGGATGTCTGTGTCGGAGGGTGTTCCAGGTTATTAGTAGCATTTCTTAAGTGACTCTTGATAAGAGAGCCCATCTTAATTAGCACTGTGAAAAGATGAATTAAATATTGAACGGCTCTTATTTTTCAGCAACTCATCAACTGAATGAGCTCCTCCTGTGAGGGTACGTTAAACCCTTGGAAATCATCGGGAATCATTCGCAAACATCCATTTTGCTGCTGTACTTTTCAGATTTCCATGTCATGGATATTCAAACTAAATATTTGCCATCAAAGAAAGGTTTATCCCTGTTGAAAAAGAAATGTTTGTGAAATAAACACAGCTGCATTACTGTAATCATAATGAGTAATGCAAATATGATATATGGACTGTAAAAATTTTTTAGGTATTTTAATGTTAAAATAAAAATAGATATCCAACATCCAAAATCAAAATATAATTTCACTATTCTCCAATTAAAATTTGACTTTTTTTGCGCAATTACAATTACAGTAACAAATGTTTCTGAAACCACAAACATGTTTTAAACATTCACTGATTTTTTTTCTCTCTTTTTTTTTTATACAGGGATAATTTATTAAAATGGCAAAATTATCTCTTTTCAAGTAGTGCAATCAACTACTGATGTGTGTCTTTGTCCATGTTGTTAGTCCTAATTTTGTTAAATTAATTTTGATGAACTGCTAGAGATGTATTAATTTAATGAACTTGATTTTGTAAAGTGTTGTTTAAAGAATCAAATTGACATTGCACTGACAAATGTACATAAATGTTTTGTAAATACGCCAATGAAAATGATGTATTTGAAAATGAACTGTACAAATGTACTTGTAGTTGTATATGGAGTGATACTGTTGATCTGTAACAATTATTCAAGAAACAAATTAAATGCAGCCAAATGCAAGTTCTTCTCATCTGTGTTTATTTGCTGGCCAATGATGTGAGGTGTTTCCTTCAGCAGCAAAGAGGAAACCACACGCCTCCCTCTGTAGGGCTCTATAGAGTCCACTGCCATCAGTCAGGCCTACTTCCTTGAATTCAAGCCACATTTGACATTTAAACTAACCTTTTGTAGGACCCTTCCACTTGCCTGACACAATATTTTCCTGCAAGACTTTTTCCCTTGAATGAAATATACAAATTAAGCTACTGAGAATCACCTCAAGACCTTTTTGCGCATTGTGGGTTGAACAGTTTCACACTTTATAAATTTGGAGACTAGCATGCTGTAGTCAGGAAGTGTGTCGACCCGCATGTTGTGCTACTTATAGAATTCTGCTCTAAACCACAGGCACTGAAGAATTGTGGCTTATTGTTCTGAAGAGCACCTTAGCCTCAGTGGTCTTCATGCATGCTCGCACAGTATTGTCCCATGCGGAAGAAGGTTAGACAATGGGGTGCATTGCATAATGAGTTCAACCTGGGGACCTGCTATTTTTATTGTCTTTTCTACAAGGTGACAAAACATCTTTAACACGCTTGCTTTTCAGGTCTTGCATTTGAACATATAACGTCGCCTGGTAATTTCATTTAAAACTAATAACATTTTTCTTGCATCTTTCTCTTTTTCAGTTCCGATGAAACATCTCATTCAGATTTTTTAAAAAGCATGTGATGCTTTTGATGTTATTATGGCAAATAACGGTTCACCTCATTCAAACCAGACCAGTAAGTTGTTTTTGTTTTTTTCCAATGGCTACTATATTATATATATATATGTGTGTGTGTGTGTGTGTGTGTGTGTGTGTGTGTGTGTGTGTGTGTGTGTGGGTG